CGTCGTCTGGACGACAATGTCAATGTCGCCGGTATAACGGCTGGGCTGGCCGTGGATCTTCAAGGCAAGGCCGCCGGCGACAGCCCAGGGAATTCTGTTTCGATCTAAAAGCTGGCTGAGGGTGTCGAGGCTGTCCATGAGGTGGAAGAAGTTGACGTCGGATTCCGACTCCTTCTGGAGCATCGCTGCCTCCTGGGCACTGAACCAGCCCTTCTTGATGTCTCTGCCGACGAGCGAGCCGGCCGTGGTGAGATGCACGTGCGCTCCGGCGTCGTCTTCGGCCCCGAGGTCTCCTGCTGATGACGGCAGGACGGGAGCGGCGAGGCCCGGAACATGCTGCGTTGCGAGCGGTACGGCCGAGGCCGAGGCCGCCAGAAGGCAGCCTAGAGTGGCAAGAGACCAGTGCATGACGAAACGAGCGAGGGAAACGATAGAAAAAAGATTGAATGGGAAGGCGAAGCCTGAAAACGACTAAAGGAGCGTGAAGTTGGATTTCGCGGGGAAGGGACGCCTTCAATGTAGGGACCTGCAGGACAACGTGTCGGGGGTCTTCGAAGTGAGATCGAGGACGTTGCGCAGACCGGAGGGGTTAAGTAGTGAGAGGACAACGCTTGCAACGCACCGTGTTCCGCGGAGGGCTAGGAGTTCCACGCTTTCCCCCCCCTCAGGCGAATGAGCTTTCTGGTGTTTTCGGCACTTTGACAACAGCAATAACCAGGCCTAGAGACTGGGTCCGGTTGGGGATCTCAGCAAAAGGCTGACGGCGGCGTCTCCGAAGGCCGAAAGCCCACTTCGTCGGTGCGGCTGCCCGGACGGCAATATCCGATCGAGAGCCACCACACACGCTGGTGTCCCTCATCCTCTTCGACGAGGATGCTGTGGGAGGCATGTTGCGATGCGCATGTTGCGATGCTTTCCTCGTCCTGAGCGCAGCCCCAGTAAGCACTCGAAGAGGGCTCTTCCCCGCAGCGGACCGGCTGCCAGCTCGGCTGAAGGCGACCACGGCCCCGTCCCCTCCCCACCCCCCCATGAGAGCCAAGACCCTAGGGCCTGGTGTCAACGGGATTGAACTCGGACGTAAATGTTCGTTCAGCTGCAGACAGCGGCATACGGAAAGTCCTGCGGTGTCGAGATGTTCTAGACGGCGGGCTGACCGTCTGGTCTAGCGTTAATATCTCCTCCTCACTCTATAGCTAGGCTCCTCCTAGCTCTGGAGACGCCGAGATATTTAGGAATATTATTGATCAGTCGAACGCACGCATGATATCCGGATAACTTTGTAGCCAGCCGTCGTGCGAGAGCTTCACCTCTCTCCTTCACCTCTCTCTCCTTCTCTGTTTCACCCTCCCTCCTTCTCTCCTTCTCTCCTTCTCTCCTCTACTCTCCTCTACTCCCCTTTATTCTCTCTCTCTCTATCTCTCTCTCTCTCTATCTCTCTCTTTCTCTCTCTCTCTCTATCTCTATCCTATCTCTATCTCTATCTCTATCTCTCTCTATCTCTATCTCTATCTCTATCTCTATCTCTATCTCTATCTCTATCTCTATCTCTATCTCTATCTCTATCTATCTCTATCTCTATCTCTATCTCTATCTCTATCTCTATCTCTATCTCTATCTCTATCTCTATCTCTATCTCTATCTCTATCTCTATCTCCCTATCTCACAGTCACTCTGCTCACCATTGTCTTCAATCACCAAGGCGATAACACCTACGTCCTTACATCATGTCTCTCGAGAGGGACGCCGCGAGGCTGTACAAACCGCTGCACACGCTTTGTGTCTTGTTGATATTCGCTCTCTTTGCTGGTAGCTCTCTTGCCGCTGTCGCCGCCGCCAGCCCCGTCCCAGGAGGTGCACCTGTTGAACCAGAGGGCTTGGAAACGGATGCTTGGAACAGCAGTGTCGCGGCTGAGGCGTTGGTCGCCCGGGGTATCCAGCGCCCGTCTACCGCCGCGGACTCTCAGGTCAGAGAGGTCATTGAGATCCTGGCCGGCGCCCCGGGCAGCAAGATCCCCGGCCCGTCCCAGGCTTTGAAGGCCGTTGAGACTCAGCTGCAGAGGGGCCTCCAGGCTCGCGGCAGGAACAAGGGGAAGATCGAGGTCTTCTTCATCATCTATGGCGGGAGCAACGGCGACGTCCCCCTGCTCTCGTCGGTGCTCCAGGGCATGCTCGACAGACCGGCCATCTTCGACGTCAAGCACGCCATCGTCCTCGGCGACAGCTACCGGGACTTCTTCCCCGAAGGTCTCAAGGCCAAGTTCGCCAATGACAACCGAGAGTGGGCCTCGAAGACGAACCCGCCCCGGCGCGACCAGGCGGTCGCCATGTTTATGCAGAAAATGGCGTCCATCCTCCACGGTTGGTCGCCCGACCTCATCGTCGCGAGCCACTTCATCCCCCCCTCCGCTACAACACCGGACCAGCGCCGCCAGATCCAGCAGCTGACGGCGCCCACCCGGGACCGGATCCTCGTCGAGCTCCAGGTCTTTTACCTTCCCGGCATCCGCTCCACCGCCCTCACAAAGAAGGACATCAAGCCCAACCATATCCGCATCTACGCACAGCAGCCCGAGATCTGGGACAGCTCATCCCCCAGCGCCGTCGGGGCGGCCATGGTCGGCAAGCTACCCCGGCTGTCGGCTCGCTCCAGCACGGCCAGACCGGGCCGCCAGGGAGAGGTGTACTCGTGGATCGACAAGCAGGGCAAGCGGCCCATCTTCTACATGGGAATGGGTATGAAGGAACGCCCCTTCGACAAGGACCACGCCTTCCCGGCATTCTTTGAGGTCGCCAAGCAGGAGCTGGCCGCCCTCACCGACTGGAGCTTCATCATCCTGCACAACGTCAAACGGTCCGAGTCCAGCTTCCGGCGCGTCACCCACAACGGACGCGTCTTCCATCTCTTTGTGGGTGAGACGTCGTGGGCCACGCTGTTCCCGGAAATGTCCCTGGTACTGACCCACGGCGGCGTCGGCTCCATGACGGACGCCATCGCCGCCGGCGTCCCCCAAATCATCCTGCCGACGGACTACGCCGCCGACCAGACGTACTTCGCACGTCGCCTCGAGAGGATGGGCGTCGGCATCGGCCTGCCGCAGATCCCCTACGCCGCGCTCTCCAAGACGGACTACGTGTCCGTCAGGGAGATCCGGGACGCCTTCTCCAAGATCAGGACCAACAGGAAGCACTACACGGACGGCATCAGGCCGTTCCGGAAGAACCTGGCCGATACGAATGCCCTCGACAACACCTTCGAGCTCGTCGAGAGGATGTGCGCGGGTTTGGTTGCCCGGAACTAGCGTCCTAAGGCTGAAACCCGTTAGTATCAAGACAGTCTAAGCAAGATTCGGCACGCTGTAATAAGTGTGGTGTGTGGTGGACGGCCATGGGATGGATGGACCTCATGCTCTGTTTAGTAGCAATGTACTAGGTAATCAATGAAGTACAATAGATAATGATGGCGTTCCTGTAAAGATCTCGTTGCCCTCTAAACAGCGGCTCATGCTATGCCCAACTAGCATGGTTGGCGTTCGGGGATATGTCAAGTAGAAACAGTATAGTTCCTACCAATTAGACGTTAGTCGCGCTATGTTGCTGCCGGACGTCGAGCTCGCTCGGTCTTTTTCTTGAAAGCCTTCTCTTGAAAGCCGTCGCCCAGGTGGCTCACGGAATCGGCGACGGACCTGCGGCAAGCCGTGGATGCCGGCGATGTCAGTTTCTTGTCGTGTCGTGGTGACCTAAAATTAGCTCTCTGTGAGGTCGAGAGACGAGTGGGGGATTTTGTTGGAGGGTTGACCAAGCAGAAAATCCCCCAGCGTTGACTCGTACACGTTTGAGCATGTGCGCCTCGATGACGGTTGCGGTACGTACGAAATCTGGTTACCATAGTATGTACGTAATAATACAATAGGTATCCGGGTGAGGCATCCGAATCCAAGACGAGGCAACACGGGTAGGCTTGCGCCAAGAACACAGCGTCAGTTGACAAATGACGGCTGTCTGGGTCGACCGAGGGCGAAGGCAGGCAGGTCGGATCCTAGTGAATCGCCGAGCATATTTATATATACGCTAATCTTAATCTCAATCTACCAGCCGTCAAGCGGTGTTCATCATAGATCGTCAGACAATGGTTGATACATGTGGTAACCGTCTCTTGATCCAGCATCGTACCGAATGCTTATGCCACAGTCTAACGAGGGATGGGAGACGCGACTTTCTTGCAGCAGGCCGGTAGACCAGCAGGCAGTGTACAGATGACTGCGAGGCCCCGAGCAGTGGCCGCTGACCTGGTAGCTCAAACGCGCGGTTGTCCAGCTTGCCTGCGGACTGTCCGAAGCCGGTTGTTTGCAGACTCAAGACTTCTAACGAACAATCTTCCGCGGCGGGCACCGGAACCGAAGGAGACAGGGAACAAAAAAACACCTTGGTCGGCAAAGTAGACCTCACTTCCCCCACCTTGACCCCTTGTCTTTCTAGTGTCCCTTGCCGACTGCCTCACCTGCGGCTACCTCGGCCCCACTCCGTTTAGATCACGACTAGGGTTAAAACGGTATTCCGGTGCCCAGACAATGCCATGCCATCGGCCAAATGGCGTTTAGTTCACCCTGACATAGATCACGCCGCGCCGTGAGGGCCCCCAATTTTTTCCTCATCCTTTTCCTATGTTTCCCTCTTCCTCCCCCTCGGAGAGTCTTCTTCTTTTTTTTTTTTTTTTTTTTTCCTTCCCCTCCCCACGCCTTTCTTTTTTCTTTGACCGGGTTTGGTGGAGACGCGCCCTTGCTAAGGTTCGAATGGCACTACCGGTCAGTTATAGCCCCGCAATTGAAAGTTGGATGGACCCCAATCCGCGACGGTTCCCGGTCATCGTGTAACTGGGCCAGTACGGCGAAGATGGTCTCTCGCTGGTCATATATTCGACCTTACACGGAGCAAAGTGAAGGCTTCTGCGTGAGGTAGTTGTATAGGAAAGAGCTACAGCATCGTGGTGCCATACGTCGACAATGGCTTTCAACGTACTAGTTGCGTCTTTGACGTTGATGGGGAGTAGTCTTTCGTTCCTGACGACGTTTGGCGCATTGATCTCCATCGGTCTCCACCGCACCCGGCGCCGGTCTTTGCGCCACATCCTCATTCTCAACCTCATGGTGGCCGGTAATGTGGTTCCCGTCAAGATTGTTCCGAGAGGACGAGAGGGCTAACGGCTTCCGAATGAAAAAGAATTCATTAACTCGGGCAACAACACCGTCTCGGGGATCATATACATCCGAGACAGAGGGTTACGACGCGGAACAGCATGTGTCCTGAACAGCGTGATTGGTCAACTGTCGGTGCAAGCGTCTGATTTTTCCATCCTCGCCATCGCTATTGCCACACTTCTGGTAGTGAAACAAAAAACGTCCATGGCGGAGGGGACGTTCCTCGAGAGGGTCTCCATCTGCTTCTGCGTGTGGATCGTCCCTATTGCGACCAGCGTCGCGGCGGCTGCCATCGGCGTCGTGGGGCCCGTCAGCGGGAACTGGTGCTGGATAACGTGGGACCGACCAGATCTCCGATTTGCCCTCACCTACGTTTGGCGTCTGTGGATCATGTTTGCCACCGTTTCCATCTACGCTTATGTCTGGTGGTACCTCGGCCAGCGCCTTCGGCCCGCTGCAATGGCGCCGGCTTCCTTAGGCTGGACCAGAAGCTTGACGACCACTGCTGCTCCGTTGACAGCACGCCAGACGACCGTGAGTCGATTGGACGTGGATTGGCCACGGCCGCAAGTCGCGGCTATGGGTGGGGGACACCCTCCACGGACCGCAGAACCGCTGGGATACGACCTTCCCCCGCTGGCGACGGACGCCACAGCGTTGCCTGTTACGAGGTGTTTGACATCAGACAGCAGTACCAGAAGCATGCTATCGCCGTGTAACTCTCAACCGTGGGGAGATGATTACCTGGCGGACTCCCGACCGAGCTCTAGCCGAGACGTCGGCGCGAGTGATAAGTAACTGCTGCCGAATCTCACCGCTGCGGCGACAGCTCATCATTCGATTGACGAGCAGACCCGGAGATTGGAGCGGCGCATCAAGCGCATGATGCTTCTCAACTCGTATCCCATCTTGTACATCCTGCTCTGGATCCCCGCCCTTGTGAACAGAGTGATGGAAGCGTCTGGGGTCGAATCGCATGGTTTGCTGCTAGCGGCTCTGCAGAGCTCGAGCCAGTTCATCGGCTTCGCTAACGCGGTGACGTACTGCCTCCATGAAAGCTTGGAGCGAAGATCGAACGGGAATGCTGTTCGCTGGCTACCTCGAACGTCATGAGCCGAATGAAGCTGGTGTTCGTGCATCCACAGGGCTGGACAGCCCAGAACCCGGTCCTTTCCATCAAATTGCAGCAGGACGCCTTCGGAAACATGCTTTGTTATGCTTGACAACCATTAAGCTTTTGTACTCTACGCTGCTGGGCCCACGGAATAGTCAGTGTCTAAACTGCTTAGTAACATAGAGGTTGTTGGTTAATTAATAGACTGCTCTAGGCGGGAAACTGATCAGGTTCTTAGCCTCTGTAGTTGAAGCTTGCCTCTTGTGCTAATGATGATGATGGCACCTTCTGAGCACAGCGGACGCGTTAGGACGTGTATTTTAACACGTCGTTGGTAAGGAGTAGTAGGCGTACCCGTCTCGCGTCATAGCAGCGACCCCGGCATTCCCAGCTTAGCCATTCTGTTTCGTCGAGGTTCCCCATTCGTGTAGGGGTGGTCAGAGAGAGAAGAGATGGGCGGCGCGTAGGGTTTTGGCCAATAGTTGTACACATGTGGTTGGATGTACTCCAACGCCGAGCAAGTACCCGACCCTATATAGATGTGCCCCTGTCAATCGGACCACCCGAGACGTAGGATCAAAGTCTTTCCATGTTCGACGGCGTCCCGTACTGCTTTTCGATACGGTGCGACTGCCCTACGTGCCGAACTCAGTCATTAAGCATTTACTACCTAACAATTTAACTATCACATCCTCTGTCAAAGAGCCCCTGTGATGACTACTCCAAGCATCATCACTATCTTGTGCATGTAGGCTGCAGCCCTTGCTGAGAGCGCCAGACCTTGTCAACAACAGATACTCAGGTCGATTGCAGAGTACGTATAGAGGGGAAGGGGTTTGGTCTGATCATGGACGGTTTGATCTTGGAATCGTAAGGCACTTAGTTGGGTAGAAAGTAAAGAAACCGAAGAGACAGAAGCTGGCTTTGATATTGCTGTTGCAATCTCTACGGCTCCCGGTAGCCCGCTAGAGGCTGGTAAAGCCTCATAAAACGACGGAGGGCCTTCTTTATCAGGTGTCCAATGTGTGCGTGAAACACCACCCACCTCCCCTGCTGATGACGCGCCTAGAGCGGATGCGGCTGACTCAGCCGATCAGGGACGCGGATCTCTCCGGCCCGTCCACGCCTACTCATAATATGCGGGATCTCTCACCACATCTACGACTTCAACGGTACAGTGCATCTCCGCCCAAGGTGCTGACCGACAGTTGTCCCTGGACCAACAGAAAGTACAGAGGTTTTAAGATAGTACTACGCAGTCGGCCACACTGCTTTATCTCTCACCTACTAGTAGCTGTTTACTTATCTCTCTACTATCGGATTGCTAGCGCTGTTGGTGGGATTATGCAATATACCTTATGTTATCAAGCTGCGTGTTGTTTCCAATGACATCGACACCTTGCATGCGCCTTTCCGACGTGTTTTTAACACCCGATAGACCTGATAACCTGCTTTGCCTCGGGGAAAGCATGAAGCTGCCCCGGCTTGACGGCCGTGGCTTATGAGTATCGGCGCCTGTTTCAAGGTTAGGTATCGACACTAGTACAAGCCACGAGCAGGTCAGGGCGTGCAACTGTGGTGTTATGAGGCGAAAGCTGTTGTGATAATCGACCCCTCATCATCATTCCTAGTCGTACACTTTATAGCTATGAGTCTATGGGAACTAAGCGCAGCGGTCGTTACGTCGCATGGTCTATAGTGGAGGGTCGAAGGTAGCTACGCCACAGGGAAGGGCTGACGATCACCACGCATCCCCAGGTAGTGTCCTGGAGCCACCGCGGCAGCGATCCTGAGATATGTACTAGTTACGGAGAGACGATCCTGGCCATGACATACCATCCGTCGCTGTTTGTCGGTCAGGCGTGGTGACGCCTCAAGAAGAGTGGCCTGAAATTCAACCAAGTGGCTGAGAGGCAGGGCCCACGAGATTATTGGTTATGATGAGTCAGTACAACAATGGTTCGCGGTGGTTCCTCAACCAATGACTTCTAAGGCCGCCTCGTCCGATCTTTACATTCCTTCCCGCTGTACCGTCGGGAACTCTCACAGGTAGCTTCATTCAGCAGTTTCCCCTGCGCCGACCCTATCCCTTCGTGGCTCTGCTGGCTCTGTGATACGCCACGAACGCTCCACGCTCGTTCCGTCAACAAATCATCATCGCACTGTGAATGATTTTCTTCCTGTTTTCTTCTTGTTTCTCCTTTTCTAAGGGAGCTCTTTGGCTTCTTCATATGTTCGACGGCTAGATGTCTCCGCTTAGCTTCGATATAATAGGACTTCTTCGCCTGGTACAGGCCCCGCAATGATTAGGATAGTTTCGCTATTCGGGCCGCGTAAGTTTTATGAACAAAGGTTTTTTTGGCAAGTCCTAGGAAGTCAAGAAAGAATCTTGTTGTATGTATATAACCATAAATCCTATGTATGTATCTTTAGAAGGATTCTGAATATTACTAAATATCTCGATTCGGCCGACCGAAAACACTTATAGACGCCCGCCCTCATCACCCGCCCCCGCGACACTGGACCTCTACCCCGATTCATGCATCAAGGGACATAGTAAGGTACTTTTACACACAAAAACACTATTTCCACACACTGGTGGTAGGGTCTGAATCACTTGGGCTCGGACAAAACAGGACTATCCGGGCAACGGCCGTTCGTTATCTGAGCATGCCCAGTCAACCCTATACTCCCTCCGCGCCCACGATGCAACGAGACCGCCCATTAAAGACAACACAGACCTGGCTGGTCCCTT